TGTGCTGTGGTGGCATTCCGCTGTCTATCTACTCCGTTGAAACGGGTAGCGCCTCCGTTGTTGATTTGTATATTCGTCGTCGTTTTATCAATCTTTGTAAGCCATTGTTGTGCAGCTGTTGTGCCCGACTGCCAAAAGGCGGGGAGGAGATTCTGATCGCCGAGTTTTGGCAACATGCCTCAGTCCCCCAACAGCCTGCGCTGCCCTTGGTAACCGACATGACTACCGAGCTGATGTAACGTTTGATAACGAGAATATCATGAGGGACAGGTGACTTACTTCTACGGGAGACCTCGCTGCGGTAGTTAACGCTCTTTTCATCTGGGCGTGGGAACGTCAGCACCTGAGTTTTATGTGTGGTTTATAGAATATTATTATATAGCATCGCATATACAGTTTATATATTAATTAAACGCGCCCTGTACTGACTCCAAGTGTATGTTTGTGTATTACATCAGGATATGTTAGTTAAGTATAAAGTTGTTATTTATATTGAATAAATCATATTGCGCCAAAATTAACTGCATTATACTACGTCATTGCATGTCATGTACTGTTAGTAGATGCAGTTAACGCGATTATGGTGGAATCGATGACTGTAATACGTTTCATGTCACATATAATTATTCTGCATTGTAGAGGACCAGACTGCTTAACGTTACGTTGCTATAACTTTTTCACAGCAGTGAACTTAAGCTAAAAAGATAGCCATGTTCAGCGTTATTTATTTACTGTGTTCATTAGTCCCGTGCGAATTCGTATTTTTCTCAGTACTAAAGAGTACGATATGGACGACTTTTACTTTTCCTAGGCTGTTAACCTAACTTGTTTTTGCATTTCAGAACGTGTGCTATTAACAATTGGGCCAAACATTCGGACTCACTGCGTCATGTTAAGTACGTCGATGATCTCAGCGACGAGCGTCGTAACCGCCGACGCCGCAGAAATGAAATTGCCTCAGCAGAAGGTCATTCGTCCGGAAATCAAACTCACAAACAGACCGAACTACCATCACGTAAACTTTCTGCTTCAGGCGGCCGCGTTTGTGAAGTGTTCTGGTGCATCTGATGCTTTGTCACAAGTATATTCTGATACAGCCGTAGGAGTTAAACAAAAGGGCAGGGTTCGGCTGCACCCATCGTTGAAGCGATGCGTTTGCAAAAGATGCAACGGTTTGCTGACGCCGCCCGCCGGCTCATCGCTGCGCCTTCGTAAGGTCTCCGGGAAGACGTGCTTGGTTGTAAAGTGCGAAAGGTGTGCGACCGGCAAGCGCTTTGTGGTCAGCGACAATCACTGTCTGAAGGGCGAGAAGTTGGACGGATACACATTGGTGTTTTAAGGAAGTTGTTAATGCTAAGAATATATGC